AGGACACAGAGTGGAAAGTCCAGACACCAGACAGAAAGCCAGACGGGCCACTCTGGCGGTCGACCCAGGGATGGGACAGGAAAATGAAGAGAACGCCCGGGTGGACAACCCTGGGACCAGACAGGAAGCCAGAGAAGACACTCGAGCGGTCGACCCAGGGATGGGACAGGAAACGTCCCATGATGAGAACGCCTGGGTGGACGACCTCTGGGTCGGGGAGTCGTGGAAACATCACTTCCTTTCAAGTAGCTCCAAGGTTGGTGAATCCAACTGTTAGTCGCTGCGTCTTCCCCCCCACGACCACATACAGTCCTCTACAGGCCGGATGCTTGTAGTTTAGACCCAGTCAGGTAAAACAGAAATGTCAGGCAAGCTCACATGAATGTGCACAGCCAGGAGAATATGACCACTCAAGGAAATTCGTAAGATATCGTGTAAGACTTTACATAGTTGGACAAAAGTCCCGCCAGCAAGAGTTAGCAAGACTTGTATAAACCGAGTTGCTTCTCCATAGAAATACATCAACATAGCTACACCTCGTTTTTTGAGCTTCCAGTCACGTCTAAGATGTTAATTTATCTTTGTAACATTGTAAGTAAGTCATAAAATGTAAAAACATGGCACGGGCTCTTTAATCCATGGTTAGCACGTCTGCCGGCTTGCAGGGCTTTGTGTCCCTCCTAAATAACCCTGAGGTACAGTCCTGAGAAACAAATGCCAAGAGGCATTTTTATGACTATTGTGACTAGAAGAACTCTCCTCACACTAGTCTACATAAATATTCAGGATAGTCCACATCTCAGCATCTACAGCTCTGTATTTCTTTTTGTCATCTTGCATTCTTGTCAAAGTAGAATTGCATAATGTAAAACTGTCTTTCTCTTGAGGATGCAGTTGTCTTGTTTCATACAAACAAACAAAAAAGTGTCAGTGCATAAACCACCTGCTCTGTGACCAGCTGAACCATGGACCTACAGTGTGAACATGGTCCCGGACAGTTTGGCCACTCAGAAAAAGGTGACTAACCAGTGTACAAGATTCATAAATCTGTCAGTGTCTGCCCAGCTGAAATGGCACAAGCTGTATAAGAAGCGCTGTGTAGGAGTCTGTGCTGCACAGTGAAGCCACAGTCTTCTTCAGCTGCAACACTGAGTGAGAATATGGATTTTTCCTGTCTGTCATTTTCTTACAGATAAAATCAGCTGGAAGGCGACGTGCCAACACGGCTCTAAAGCCTGAACCTGTGTTCATATAGTTTTCTGAAACGTGGGGGCCATGAGAAAGCTGTAAACTGTCAATTAATGTGATTGATGTATTAGTGGCTTAACCTCACAGCAGCGTTAACATTCATGTGGAGTGGTGTTTACAGCATAACCATAAAGAAAGCCAGTTAAAAGAGCTCAGTAGCCCTGCGGAGCTGATGGGAAGTGTGTATCAGGTGATAATTCTCTGGGTTTCTTATTAGGAATGACTCCTGTCACATGGCATTACTAAACGTTAAAATCCTATGTTAATATATAAGACTATTTCACTGTCATCCTCACAATTTGTTCCATTACTGTAACACCACACTTGAACTATCCTGAGTAATGCCTGTCTAGACAGGCCAGCAGCGCTCCTTGTTTTTGTTATGGCTGTCACTACACACTGGGCTCTTTGGAGGCTCCCAGAATCAATAAAGCTGTCTAGGTACCGCACTGGGTCCTGAAATAGGCACAACTGTCCTGATTATTGTGAGCTAAAGTACATGCTCCTACTTTCTGTGAAAGCCTTGTCAAGCACCAGCAAGCGGCCCCTTTCATCCTGTCTTTGTGATCGAGAGGTCACCCAGGTACCACGGCGCCCCAGGCGGTGCCCATACAACTTATATGCTAGGCCTTTGAAACAGCAACCATCAAGGTGCTGCCAAACCAAAAGGCGTATCTTCAAAGAAGCTGCTGCCTCATAACGGTACAGTGACCTTTCACATGTGCTTGAGGCCACGTGCACTGTACAAGCAGCCAGACCCCAAAACCGTTAGTCACTGACAAAGGGCTGCTGTGCATCCTGACTGATTATCACCTGACTGACAGGCGCACTGAGGCTCATGCACGCCCATAGACCAAGTACTGGCTGAAACACTGGCACAAATCAAATAGTATGGCTGTCCATTCAACTTCCTTCTTATTAAGGAAGAGTATAAATACTCAGTTACAAGTAAAAATACTGCTTTCATTCCTGTATGCTATACTGTTATACCACATGTTGAAGTGTCCTTAAGCCAGACACTGAACCCCCGGTTGCTCCCAGCGATGACACCGGTGTGTGAATGTGTGAGTGTGAATGGGTGAAAGGCCAAATAGTGTGACAGCACTTTGAGTGTGCTGCAACGCATAGAAAAGCGCCCTACATACCATTTACCACACTTCGGGTGCTGCATTATCATTCCTCATTGCTCCTCACCTGTGTTGCTTTTTCCCCAAGTTTCTTTTCTGCAATCTCCATTAGTGCTGCAGCCCCAACAGTTTGATGGAAAACAAGCAGTGGCTGATTTCACTGATTATTTCCTCCCCTCTGATTGAAGGTGCTGATCACTGAAGTCAACTGCCCCGGTTTCTTAAAGTGGAAAAAATCTGCAAACTCATAGCACTTTAAATGAGATCTAAAGGTGCAATAAGACTTCTTATTTCACACCACACAAAATCCGACTGCCGCGGGGTCTGCTGAGATAAATCATATTTTTAAGGTTGATCATTCCCTCGTTGTTTCATCCTCTTCATTATTTTCTGAAGCAAATCACTTATTTTTCAGCCATATCTGTGCACCGTGGCGTCTCTTGTCAGTAAGACCATAGCTGCCACAACAGTGAATGTCGCAGCGAAGCCTCAGCTGTCAGCCCTCATCAACGTGTCTGTTGTCTTCTCCCAGAACCTAAACCGTGCACAGTCATCTTGAAAACTGTCACTGGTTATAAACACAGTCTGTGCTGTAATGGACTTCACAGCATCTGAGCTTTAATTATGCATCTGGTGACTGAACTGGTTCGCTCAGGTAGCAGCACGGCTTTAGAAGCTATCAGCACATTTTTCTGATACATGACAGGAAATTAATTGTACAATATGTTCAGCAACAGACAAAACAAAGCATCCTATTGGTTTTTTAATGATATTTTGGTGCTGGCTTGATACTGGGCCACACTTAAACCACAGAGCACATCATAATTCTGCCCCAGTCTCTCTGTATTCACGTCTCTCTCTCAGATGTTGTTGTTTAGATGGTTCAAAGTCAGAGGATGACCCTCTTGCTATAAATGAGGTAACTGGGTTGAGTGCAACAGCAAAACAACAGCACAGTGAATGCAAATGCAGACACACACACACACACACACCTGGAGAGCGATTAAGCATAAAGGATTGTCGTTCTAGAAAATTCTGTGTACGTTACAAAGCAGACAGATTCACAAATGTGCTGCTCAGCAACAGTCTGAGATGGTCAATTCAGCCAAAGCGGTGGTGCAGCGCTGTGACGCAGGAGAAGCTGCTGGAAACGGTTTCTCCCTGTTTTCTCATGTCAAGTTTCTATTGAACTGCTGGAAACGGTTTCTCCCTGTTCTGTTTTCTCATGTCAAGTTTCTATTGATTTCACCAGTATTTGAAAATGTGCCGCCATTAGCAGTGGCTCACTGGCAGTACCTTCAGCTCATTACCTTGTGTACTACAGTATATACTACTATATTTGTTTACATTTTGGACCAAGTACGTTGAATTAGCTATTAACAGTTCCCTTTTTGTTATGCACCGTTGGATGTACTGACAGATATCACTGAATGTCTTTGATGCTAAAGAATGATTTAAACCCTGATGATATTCAAGCAAGTTCTGCTTTATCTCATAATTAGGACAAATTATCTCATATTTTCTTGTATTTTCCCCTCTTAAGAAAAACTACTGTGCTTTAGGTGCTTGATAAAATCTCCTCGTGCTTTCTCAACGTGGTAGGTTTGAGCAGCTGTAAATAACACAAGTCAGAGGCATTTTGAGAGCCAGTCATATTGCTTCTTATGTAGAAAATCACTTTGTGCCCTCCACCTGCAGCGCTGTGACGTCACATGCAAACGGGCTGTTAGTGTGATCAAATTAAATTTAAATGACTTAAAATATCAGAACCAGGGTTTTCAGGGTCTGTGTGCGTGTGCGTCAACATCTGCTGCTGAGTAGCTGCTTAACTAATTGCAAGCTGTGAAAACTAAAACGAGTTTCTTGATGATGGCGGTTTGAAATATTGAGCCAAATGCATCTATATCCAGAAATAAAACAGGTTATTTATTTGAGGCAGCGCGACTTTCCATAGTTTTCCCATAGTGTCTGAAGATGAAACACAGCAAAAGAAGGAGAAAGTGCTTGTGCTGCTGAGAGGATATTTTTGCCTGATCTCTTTCTCTCTGGATCAGAACAGCAGCAGCAGTGTTGCTGAGGCCAGAGGAGTGTAGATGACACTCAAACTGAGATTTATGTGAGAGTGCACCTTGAGCGCTTTTTCATTTGGAGCGCCTGTACTGTAGGGTCGGTGGTGGTGGGCTGCAAACTACGCAGGCAAGAAGATGAGCGAGGATGTAACTGTGTGTGTGGGTTTGTGTGTGTAAGTGCTGGTCTGTGCTCTTTCTCAACTAAGCTGCTGGAGATGGCGTTTCAGCGTGCACGGCAGAGTGGTTTGCCTGTCTGTGCATTTCTTCTTTTTTAAGCCCCCCCCCCGCCGCACAGCTCCTGTCATGCTTAACTGCCCTGTCTCTCCACTGCACCATTGTGTTTGTTTATGTGCATGCTCGGTATGTTGTGTGTGTGTGTGTGTGTGTGTGAGGAAAGTGGGGGTAAGCTCAGCTGGGGGCTGTGCTGACTAGATCACCCTGCCCCCAATAAGGCCAGCAGGACAGCGACACACCACCCAGAACTGTACCCCCAGGGTACCTCTCACCTGTTCTTACCTGCTCAGAGGACTCATCCCCTGTTTTCCACTCTTTTTAGATGAACAAGCCCCCACATCTGCCCCATTCACTCCAGCTCCAGCGGTGACACCAGGGAACACAAAGGAGAGCAGCCCTAGAGACAGAAGCTCCAGTGCAGTGCCTGGAGGTTTTCTACAGTCAGTAATGGCTCAAAAAGGGGAGAATCTCCCCTCTGCTCTGCCCCAGAACCTGCTCCCTCATCTGGGCAGAGGACTCGGTGCCAGCTCCCTCCCTGGAAGTCAGTCCCTGCAGCATCAAAGCGGGGGATTACTGAGCAGGGAGAAATCCCCAGCATCAGCTGCAGCGTCAGGCCGAGGCAGCGATCCAACTGAGCCTCCTCCTACAGACACACACTCCCAGCTGCCTCACACACAGACACACAACCCTGAGCAGGAGATTGAGATTACCAGTGTGGCCACGATGGTGGACGTGGACACAGAGGCACCTTCATCGGGTATGAGTCATTACTCATTTTAGTGTTATTGATTCATTCAGAATGTTACACAGTGGAGGAAAGTAACCATGTGCATTTAGCCAAGTTTGAAGTACATATTTCCATTTCCATACTAATTTATACTTCACTTTTTAACCATGTTAGCAGCACAGCTCCATGGATGTCGTTTGGTTGGCTCACCACTTTAGTCCAGAATGACATATCTCTGCAATCATTTGACAGATTCCCTTGAAAATGTAGAAAGACACTGGTCTCCAGGAGATGAGTAAAGCTGACTTTGGTGACCCCTGACCTTTAATGTTGCACCACCAACAGGCTGGTAGATGTGGTTTTTAGTGAAACGTTTCATCAACCACTGAATGGATTGTGACGACATATTGTGCGGCTGGACATTTCGGTTTATGACTCAAGTCTCGCAACGGTAGAGGTGTTCCCATCAGCCTCGGCTGCACTTCTATATATTTTTACAGATTAGATTGTTAAATGTAGATAATCATTATAGTGGTGCTTATGTGTTAAAGCATCAGTGAAAATAACACAGTAATGAAATATGTAACAATACAACACATAGGTGTAATTAGTACTTTTACTTTGAGAACATTTTATTCATAATAAAATGGACTGTACTCTTTGTTTACTTGAGAACAACAAAGCAAAAATACTTCATTCCAATTAAAGGCCCTGCCTCCCAGTTCATCAGATGAAAGTACAAAAGCAGTATTTACTTAATTGTACTTAAAGTAGAGGTACTCATTCTGCAGAAACATTTGCTCAAATGTTGTTTGTATTTGCAAAATAACAAATTGTTTTGTGGAGTGAACAACATATGATGTGAGGTACAAGTAGCTTCAGTCAAAGATGTTCGTTCTTTCTTCACTACTAGTTTTACAAAAATAGAGAAGAGGGAAGGTGATTATTTATTTCATGTCACTGTTAACAGCCTGGAGTCCTCACTGCGCTGATCCCTGTAATTTCCGTCATTAATTATACACAGCAGGGATTTCCTGTGAGTTTGCAGACAGGCTCACATTAAATGGATTTGCAAGGCAGAGTAAGGAGAAAATTTAAAATATAGCCAGTGCAAAGTAAACTCCTGTGCTCTCTCCTCAGCTGTGTCGAGCTGCATGGTGAACTTCTCCGACCCAGAGGGATACATAGACTCGTCTGATGACCCCCCTCTGCTCGACAGCACCGTCTTACACTGCACCTATACTGTGACTGTGTACATCGGCTATGGAGTGGAGCTGCAGGTACACATGAGCAGCATGACAACAAACAACACACAACTAGACTGTTACACCAGCACATAGTCACTGTTGGCAGAGTGACTTGTCATCATACTCATCAGCCCAGGCTGAACTCTGCCTCCTAGTGGCAGCTACTGGTGCTGCTCTATCTCTATCTCTGTCTCTCTCTTTTCCTCTGGGTTTACTGGCATGAACATAATCAGATATAGCAGCGCTCAGCAGCTAGGTTCAGCCATAGGTCAGGTTTTTCCATAACTGTTCAGTGGGGGGTCGGCATAGCTTTACATGTGTGGTGGAGAAGCAGGCGTGTATGCTGACTTTTTACTTCTTACCATCTTCTTCTTACCAGCTCCTAAAAAAAGAATCTGTCACCAGTTGGTTGCTAATTTTGTCCATCTTTCATTTTGTGCTCAGAGTGTGAATGTTTTTTATGTAGTTTACTTCCTGAAAAACAGTTGTCTCCTGCCTGAAGAATCACTGATAATAGCAGGAGGAAAGAACTGAAATAGTAACATTGCAAGCTACAGACAGGTGCCAAACTAAAGGACGACCCAGCACAGAGTCCCAGTGAGGTGCTGGGCCACCACGTGGCACCAGAACAGCTCCACCTTGACTCTCCAAGTCTCTGAACTCTCCTGGAGGGATGAACACCGTTCTTCCAACAGATGTTCCCTCATGTGGTGTTTTGATGATGGTGGTGGAGACGCTGTCTAACACTGTCTAACTTTTATATTTCATCCAGTTTTGGTGAGAAACTGTTTTTGTATTACCACAGGAAGTCATTGTGTGTGTCTTTTAAGTGCAACCTGAGGGACCACTGAGGTAGCTGGAGAACAGCAGCCCCAACTAACGTGTCCAATAACTTGGGTTGTGTCTTTCTGTGTGTTCAGGTGAAGAGTGTGAACCTGTCGGAAGGTGAACAGCTGTCGATCAGGGGTGTGGATGAACAAGGGTCTCTGCTGGTCCTAGCCAATCACACGCTGCTAGTTGAGGGTCAGGTGATCCGCAGTCCCACCAACACGATGTCTGTCTACTACCGCTCTGCCCTGGAGGGAAGTGTGGGCACCTTCCAGCTGCACTATCAGAGTGAGTCCATGCCGCACATGTGTACACACACAGACACAAGCGTACACAACTATGAACGTACTCAAACCAGCGATACAGAGTCAGTAAATCTGAAATCCTTATTGGAGCCTAAGAGGCTGTTTGTGGTCTGTATATGTGCTAATTACATAATCAAAAATCTTCTCCTCTAATCACTTAACATGGTTATTGAATCTGTCATGTGAATTAGCTTATTACAGCTCTGATGAATTAGCCCTCATCTCATTAGGAGCCTGAAAATATGGGGGTTTATATGGAGAGAGAGTGTGTGTGTGTGTGTGTGTGCACTTGGCTGTGTCAGCCCGTTATTGCTATGACAAGGCCTGGAAAGGAGGAAGCATCAGAGTGTTAAGACCCACCTGTGTCATTAATCACAGCCATCTGATCCTATTACATCAGCACCAGGTAGGAGGACAGAACTGAGGAGTGACGGGCATTCAAATATCTCTGCTGAGAGCAACGTGGCCACGATAAGAATGTCTCCGAGAGAATTAAAACAACAGGAATAGCATTACTCACAACTGTTCAGTTAAAAATTGACCTATGGGTATGTGATTGCTCCGGTGACCATCAGACTAGATGAAAAACATTGGCTTATTTTCTAAATCCTTTAAAGCTGACTTTAATTGACCAAGACTAATCAAACAAACAGTTTCAGGTCCTTCTGCTCAGAGGTTTAAATGTGGGATCAGTTTATTTAAAAGTCCTTTATCCCAGTTCTGTCCAGCCATATTAGTGTCCCACAATAAAGAAAACAAACTGTAAAAGAGATAAAAGGTGACGCTTTAGGATTAATGGTGAAGGGGGACGGGGCGGCGTCACCGTTTGCTGGTGCAGTTGCTTCAGTGGAAACTGTTCAGATTGTCCACTTTTGCTCTTGAACGTCTTCAAAGATGTATCTTTTACAGTGGTTTTAACAGAGAATGGCTGCACACATAACAAATCACTAAGTCTGACAGGAGTGTTGGAGAAAGTGAATATTGGAACTGATGATAAATCTGGATGAAAAGTCGGAGGATCACAAAGACCATAAAGATATCTGAACCAAACTGCATTGTAATCGATCCAGCTGCTGTCAGTACCCATCAGGTAGGAGCAGTAGGATTCCTGCTCCGTCCATCCAGATATTTCACCTTGGACCAAAACATTTCTGTCTCTAGAGTCGTTCTGTTCACATGGCTAAAAAGCATCGTAGGTGTCCACGTTGTGTTGATTTGTAAATGAAGGACAACAAATGGATTCACAGCTGCTCACTCATCTGCAGCATACACTGTGACTAAATCAGTAAACTATGACTGCCTTGCAACAAGCAGAAGGTCCTGGGTTTGAATCCATGAATGCCTGCATATCTGTACAAAGGCAGGTTAGTGGACTGTGACGTCATTGGCGTATCGTCTGACCTGATCTGGACAGTCAAATGGCTGTGACTGTCAGGTTGTCTTTTCTGGAAAGTTACATAAACTTGTCGCTCCCTGTCAGGCTCAGGAAGGCGGGTTCATATGCTCTTATGAAATCAGACAAGCTGTTGAACCTGTTGAAGCTGTTTGAGGCTTTAAATTTGTCTTTAGATGTGAATAATGTCCTTGTGTCGGCCTTGTTATTGAATGGACTAGGCTGGGTCAGGATATGTCTACAGAGAGTTGTGTTTAATTTATGTCATATTTTGTTCTGGAACTGTGCAAGAAAATTGATAAGAGTTAGAAATTTGTACAAAATAAATGGGCACATCTTAGGGATTGTATCTGTTTTTATCATGTGATACCTTTGAAGCAGGAGCCATAACAGCATTCGTGTTAGTAGCAGTTATTAAAAGTTGTGTTACTGTATTTGGTGCTTACTCGGCGTCATAGTTCACAGACAGCCCCTCTCACTCTTCTTCATGTTCTTGCCTCCGTGTCCAGTCTACAGGCTGAGCTGTTCCCTGCCAAAGAGGCCTCACTTTGGGGAGGTGTCCGTGCTGGACCTGCTCCCTGGCGGTACTGCTCGCTTTCACTGCCACATGGGTTACCACCTGCAGGGGGAGCAACTGCTCACGTGCCTCAACGCCTCCCTGCCATTGTGGAGTGGCAAGGAACCCACCTGCAGAGGTGAGTGTGTGGAGAGCTGCAGAAGCAAACTGAGAAAATGATGTGTGGCTGTTTAAACCCATATAAACGATACCACAGCAACTACTGGAGTTCAAATTCTTCTGTGTAGCTCTCTGTGGGGGCACGGTGAAGAACGCTACAGTGGGAAGGGTGCTGTCCCCTTCTCCCCATCACGGACCCAACGCCACCCAGGATCGCTCCTGCTCCTGGTCCCTGGAGGCACCCAAGGACCAGAGGCTGCACCTCCACCTGGAGAGACTGGCCTTGGGCCCCACAGACAGGTAGGAGGTCCCCCCCTCACATGTCGGTGTGTTTTAGGTTAGTGGTGAGCTGCCTGTTCTTACTGGACATCGGCACCGTGTTCCTGATTCAAATCCAGAATTGATCCATTTCATCTGGATGGCTTTACTTTGTAGAGAAGCATTAGATTCTCCCAGCGCTTCCACTGCCTCCGAGGTGTCCACCTTCACTCATGCACACAGTCCTTCCATCCCTGCAGGCTGGTGCTCTGGAGCGGCCTGGACGCCGGCTCTGTGGTGCTGTTCGACTCGGGACGAAATGGACAGATCCCTTTTGAGGGGGTGATCAGTGAGGGTCCCTCTGTAAGGATTCAGTTCATCACTGACCAGCCCAACCACAACACGGGATTCAACATCCGCTACGAAGGTACAGAAGCCACAGCACACCCAGTAGGACACAAAAATAAAAGTAGTGATCCTGCAGCACAATTTAAACTTACTCAACGTATCGTTACAATTACACTGTAATCATTTTAACACGTTGAGAAGATTGCAAGGCCCCATGTCTCTGCTCACATTGTACGCTGCCAAATGACTAGAATGCCAGGATGAGAGCTGCTCATCCAACATATCCTGATCTAAAGCTTTCAGAGCGTCTGGCAGTATCAGATTGTGGAGGGATGGATAAATCCCTTCCAATATGTTCATCTTCATCAGCAAAGAGAAGAGAAAGGCTAAGCAAAGAACCATCTTTGCAAGTGGTTTTTTGGGGCAGATGCTATTAATTCTCTTGGCATCTAGTTACAGAAATTAGGAAGAGGTATCACAAAGAAAACGAACAACTTAAAAAGCCAGATGGAGTGACTTTACTGAGACACATTTCCTAGTAACTGTTAAGTGGGCTGAACTTGTTCTTTCTCTCATTTTCTCCTGCAGCCTTCGAGCGTGGCCACTGCTACGAGCCATACCTCCAGAACGGAAACTTCACGACGTCTGACCCGTTGTATGGGGTTGGAGCTGTGGTTCAGTTTACTTGTGACCCGGGCCACTCTCTGGAACAAGGCCCCCCTGTTATCGAGTGTGTCAGTGCACGGGATCCATACTGGAATGACACAGAGCCGCTATGCAAAGGTGAGGGCAGGTAGCAGCCACACCGAGCCTCATGCAGGAACAGTTTCGCATTTTCATCCTGGGTGAGGCTTTTTGATCCAAATCAGATTCAACAAACTCTCTTTAACTGCACAAAACTTGTACAGTGGTCATTTAAACTTTATGAATAATGGCTGTGTAAGACTTACAAAAGACAAGTAAGACGTGTTGTATCTGCAGAAAGTGCCACCTGGAAGTAAGGAGGTTCATACTGTGGCACTTCTTTTTTGATTGCTAGATAGATAGATAGATAGATAGATAGATAGATAGATAGATAGATAGATACCTCACTGGTCCTGTTGGAAATTCAGATTTCCAGTAGCAACAGCAATAGTTATCAAAATCACAGCACACCAAAATAAAGAAATGTATAAAAGTGTACGACTAACATAAGTATAAGTATAAAACAAGTATAAACAGTAAGTATAAAAGTATGAGTATAAGGTGTACATAGTAAATGACGCATAGATTAAAATCAGATAACTTTGTTCTTTAAACAGTTTAAATGTGTCTGTGGAGGTTTTTGTGATCAGTGGTGGAAAACAACTTAGTACATTTACTCAAGTATATTGTATCTATATCATGTCCTGCTCCTTCATCCTGTCAGAGACAAACCGTGTACTTTTTACTACACTACATGTACCTGATAACTTCAGGTCCAGAATCAGATGAATCAAACCAAACCCAGTAGAACCATCAGACTCTATTGATCCCAGTAGGAAATCCACCAGCTACCCAGCAGGATGGAAAGTACTTCCCAGTATAAGTATATAAGGTAGTTACCATCAGCTCCACCTTTACCAGCTGCAGCGTTAAAGTGATGGACACAGTAATTAGTCACTATGATCCAGTAGTATCAGTAGTATCTGCAGGATGAGCACGATCACTGCACAGTAAGTATAATAATCAGGAATGGCCTATCTGCTGGCCAAACTATTTGTAATGTTATTCATTCTGATTTTACTGTTCAGTTTGTCTGCTTCTCTCTCCTGCTGCTCATCCTTGCCCCTTCTCTCTGCAGCACAGTGCGGAGGAGACCTGACTGGTCCAGGGGGCGTGATTCTGTCTCCCAACTGGCCGGAGTGGTACGGAGAGGGTGAGGACTGCAGCTGGAGGATACATGTTGAGGAGGACAAACGAGTGCTGCTCGATGTACAACTGTGAGAAAAACAGCAACACGCACAGACCAGATCAGACCAAGAACCACATCTTACCATTAAAATGTGTGAGGGGTCCAGCAGCCGACGGACATCTCTCTGCTCCTGCTCATACTAAACATTCATTTCCAAACTCGACAATGTTAGGGAGCACACTGGTGCTACTGCCACTGCACTTTTCTCCAGACTGGTGATATTCCTGCCATCGTTTTGCTTTTGAGCTGCTGGATTGAGTCTTATTCATGTCTGAGAACGCTCCATGGTGCAGCGAGCTAACAGTAAATATAAAGTCATGGTGTAAAAGTTGTTTTGTTTTAATTATGAAACTTTCACTAAAACAATCCTGGTGCAGTCAGAATGTTTTTTTTATTTATTCAGTTTATTTAAAGTGCACATCGCCCACACAGGCCTAGTTAGTGAAGGAACTAGTACTCAAAGTAGAAATCTGCTGAATGCTTACCCAGCCAGTGAAACCAGGAGGGACCGAAGCACAGAGAAAAATGTGGATTTTAAGGCAAACTGTGAAGTTCTCAGCTGAGCTGCCTCCTGAATGTTTTGCAGGAATTTATTCCTGAGACGGTGAGCTCAGCGAGCAGAGGCTCCATGCCAAAATATTTTTGTAAAAGCTACATGAGAGAAGAATAACCAGAGAATATAAAGGAGGGTATGGAGTAATAAGATGCAGGAAGGAGATGGTCCATTTGCAGCCTTAGGAAAACATCTTGGTGCTGCCAAAGAAAAGCAGCAATCGATTCTGGATGCTAGGAAAAGAAGAGCAAGGATTTTTGTGAGTAAAATGGAATCATCTTGGCTGTATAACATTAAGTGAATAAAGGCAGGTGTTGTGACGCTGACAAAAATAAAAGGGGGATCTGAAACTATACCCAAATTCATGACTGTGGCAGAAACTGTGCAGCCATTAGGATTAAAATGAAAGATCCATGACGGTGCTGGCAGGGAGGATTGTGTGTCAAAGAAGAAGAGAGGGGGGGGTGAATGCTTACCCAGCCAGTGAAACCAGGAGGGACCGAAGCACAGAGAAAAATGTGGATTTTAAGGCAAACTGTGAAGTTCTCAGCTGAGCTGCCTCCTGAATGTTTTGCAGGAATTTATTCCTGAGACGGTGAGCTCAGCGAGCAGAGGCTCCATGCCAAAATATTTTTGTAAAAGCTACATGAGAGAAGAATAACCAGAGAATATAAAGGAGGGTATGGAGTAATAAGATGCAGGAAGGAGATGGTCCATTTGCAGCCTTAGGAAAACATCTTGGTGCTGCCAAAGAAAAGCAGCAATCGATTCTGGATGCTAGGAAAAGAAGAGCAAGGATTTTTGTGAGTAAAATGAAATCATCTTGGCTGTATAACATTAAGTGAATAAAGGCAGGTGTTGTGACGCTGACAAAAATAAAAGGGGGATCTGAAACTATACCCAAATTCATGACTGTGGCAGAAACTGTGCAGCCATTAGGATTAAAATGAAAGATCCATGACGGTGCTGGCAGGTAGGATTGTGTGTCACAGAAGAAGAGATGTGAGGCAGAGATGCTGTGTGGGCTGAAAGGGTCAGGTGTCTACAGATGTTCTAAAAACAGCTGGAGATTAGTTGTAGTTTGTCCAGGTTATCAATCCATGCAGCTCATGGCACATGTGCAGTGGGCTCCACAGTGCAGAAGCAGATTTGGAAGAAAAGAATGTTTGGCGTATGTGCCAGACAAGCAACTCTGAGTGGGAAGAATAGGTGCCATCTTGTAATCTGGGATCCAGGTCTCATGGTTACAGACTGATAAACACTCGGCCTGTGGATGAACGCAGCACATAGCCTTCATCTCCCACATGGTCGGGGTTCATCATCATTACTTCCAGCCATCCTGACCTGACCTGATGCCATGGTCTATATGTCTCTCTCCCTGGCTCTGTCTCTGTCCCTGCTCAGACTGAACATCAGTGACAGCGACATGCTGACCATCACTGACGGCGATGAGGTCACGACACGTATCCTTGGGCGGTACGTCGGGGGAAGCAGCCCCTTCAAGCTCTCCTCTACCACCCCTGACCTGACCATCACCTTCCACTCTGACCCGGCGGGGCTCGTCTTCGGAAAGGGCGAAGGATTCATCATCAACTATATGGGTGAGAGTTGAAGCATAAGGCTGGAAATATTGAGTAGTTTCCCATTTTCAACGAACCCCACATGCGGGGCCAAGCAACGAGTTGACCTAATAAGTGCAGTGTGTGTGTCACAGCCTGATGCATCTTCCTCCTTGGTGCCATCGAGCTCCATTACTGTGCAAAAGCGCCGTCCTACTGCCACAAATACTCCCCAGAGACCAAATGTGGCCTCATCCGTTACATGAGCTTACCTTTTTTATGTGCTGTCTACATTTTTGTAGTTTGCCTTATGCATTCTGTTGTTTTGTCTAATTCTCAGTGAATCGTTAATGAATTTAGTCCATAATTTTCTTTGCTCCAAAAACTGAAAACATCAGATCACTAATAAATCTTACTTTCTATCCAGATTTCATCTGGATTTTAATGTGAAGAATACGTAGTAAGAAATAATTCTTTCTCAGGTGAGACTGCCTGGGTAATCCTACCCGGAGTGCACTGATACAGTCAAGGTACTATGACAGGTTTCTGAGTAGGGACGACAACGCGATGCTGGGAAGTCAAGGCAGAGCTGGATAGTGTCACAATCATTTATACAGGACTGTGAATAACAGGGCTCCTCATGTTCCGTGTAAACATCTTGTCAAACCAGGATATTGCTCAAAATCTGTGCTAGTGCACGTGTAAAGCTGCTTATTGTTGCAATCATGGTGGTATTCTCTTTTTTATTTCATTCCTCTTCTTTGTCAAAACCTGCCATATATTACCCACAATGCAACTCGTGCACAGTTTGGGTGTGCAGCTAATGTAACTGTGTGAGGACGTGTTGACAATATGAAGATTATAGAACATCCCCAGAATTATCCTATGAATAGATCTGGAGCGGTTTACTTTCATTCAGTTTCCCAATTTATTCTAATTTTGCCTTTTCTCCTCAAGCTGCTCACTCCATTTTCATCCTCCCTTCTCATCTTTATTTGTCTTGCCTTTCATTTCCCTCTGCCCTTATTCAATCACGTCCTGTTTGTTTCACCACCTCACGAGGGCTCTCATTACCGCACAAACTTGGTTTCACAAGCAGCCAAATAAGCTCCCTCCCTCCTTTTACACACAGTAATCTGCAGAGCTTCCCATATCCAACACCTGACTCCAATTTAAAATCATACTGCGACACACGCTGTCCAATAAACCCGTCACCCTCCTGACACCACAGACTTGCACACGTTTCCCAGAGGAGTGAATCTAGTAGACACAGCATGAATATCTGGGCTACTCTTTATATATGTGTGTGCATGGATGTGTGTGTATGTATCCGAATAAATTACCCGCCACACACATTCAGGCTGCACGGAGGAAGAAAACCAAGTCAGTGGTGAATGAATAATTGATCCAGGAACTTCAGCTTACAAATCCCTGGAGGCCTGTTATATTGTACAGTATAATGTAGTATTGCACAATTAATCATCAAATACACATATGCAGACACACACTAGTCCCAACAGGAGGCCACTTATTTACATCTTCTCTACGCGATTTTCTTTTCTGTCTTCAAATTGCTGAAGTTTTGTTGCTGTTCTGTGTTTTCTTCTTGGCATGAGCGGCTGCTGGAGGTGGTTTTGTTGTGTTCTCTGTTTCTAGGCTGTTACACACTTGAGACATTCGAATTCACAGAGGAACAAATGTCTGCAAATGCATCAGTGGAAATGAAAAAGAAAATCCATAAATGCCTGTGAGGGCACAAAAAGCCGTCTTCAGCTGATTTGATGTACCTGGCAGAGGGGTTACGCTGCTGTGCTTTCCATTATCACTGAGGTATAACTATGTAAACCGAGGTATAACCTTATTCAAAATCATTTTAGGTTCATTCCATTCAAGTTTTATTTTTGAGTGTTAGAGCTTCTTGTAGTTAAATAAACATCTCAACCACTATCAATTGGTTGGTGCAGCAGGCGCTGATGTTCCTAATGATGAATCCTAAAAACGCTGGTGATCCCCTGACTTTTCCTCTAGTGCCACCAGAGGGTCGGTTTGTCAGACATACTTGCATCTGATAAATGATGATGTTTAGCTCAAAGCACAAGCCAGTACAGAGCAGCAGGCATAACTGCAACCTTAATGTCTCCTTAGCTCCCATCTTTCATTGCTGTGGACCTCATTAAACTTGATGTGGAGCTTTGAATCCTTAAGCTTCATTGATTTTAACATGGTAGAAATTACATGGTGCGAAAGTGTGAGCTGGACACTTTTAATGTGAGATCAGAAGAATTCTTGATGCAGAGCGCGTTGGTCTGAGCCCCCTGCTGATCCCCTGGCTGTGTGTGCACGTTGGTGTGTGAGCTGCTCGCAGATACAGCATGGGAATGCTGCAGCTTACAGAAAAATCATTTATCATCATTTTGTGTGGAGCTTCTGTAGAAAAACAAATAGGTTTGTGCCTGTAAGGGGATTTATCTGGGTTTGAAACAGCTTCTTTAAAGCTGCACTGAAATACAGTGTAAATATAAAACATTGCTGCAAGCAGCTGTTTCTAGCAAACACACTGACAAACCCATTGTACACTACACTAACATGTCAAACTTTAATACAGTGTTCAGCTTGTTGTGAACTTCTGCCCCAAGTGGCCTAAAAATCAGATGATCTCTGCTTAAAGACAATGTAAATATAAATTCACAGACTTGAATTTTATGATTAATTGGAATAAATAGAGAAACAAGAAGAAGAGCAGAGCCAGAGGCTCTGTGAGGCTCAAAGCTGCAGTCACTGCTTGCATGCTGATGTTTAGCAGGTCACGTTTAACCACGTTTTCATTTAGCATTTTAGCATGCTAACACTTGATAATTAGCACAAAGTACAACTGAGAACCACCAACGTTATTACAGCTGATCCTGCCTAAACCACATTTCATGGCGATCCTCCCAATAGTTGCTGAGATGTTTCATTGATGCTACAAATGTCAGCGTCATGGAGGTACTACGGGAAACATCAGGGCATCACCAAACTCATTAGGATCCATCTTCTGGGAACCATGAATGCCTTTGCACAATTGAATGGTAATCCATCAAATATTTGTGGAGATATCCTGACACTGCCGGTCTTAGAGCTGAGCCACTAGTACGACTAAAAACACAAACAGAATTAACATGTATAAAAAACATGAGCATGAAAGTTTGTTCTTGACCTTGAATTGTTGTTTACAATGTTTCTCTTAACTCAAGGTCCACGTGTTTGCTCTTTCAGCCACATGTCATGAGTTTAGCTGTGGTTATTAGCACAGTGCATGAGGTCCATACGTAGTTCCTGAAGACAGCAGAGTCAACATTGTCCATGATGAGCGTGACATGATTGGAAGCCGTTATAAAAAGCCAGTAACGTGAGCTCTCTTGAAGTATTCTGTCACATTAATAAAGCATTTCACGAATCACTCCGACGGCACGTAACACAAACCAGGTTTTCCTGTGGCAGATCCACCCAGCTGTGACAGACGACTGCCAGCCTGTGTAATGGTACTGAGTTAACACCGACTGCTTTTCAGTGGCAAACTGTCCTTGTCAGAGCAGCTTCACTGGGGAGGCGAAATCCATCATTCTGTCACACGGTCAAGTAATCACACAGAAGGTCCATCAGTCCTCTGTGCTGAGACGGACTCCTCTTCATGGGGAGCGTGTGCCAGCATCCTCTAAAATCCAGATGTAACCCCGTTTATCTTGTTTGCTTCTTGACCCATGTGACTGCAGTGAAAAGGGAAACCGGAGCCAAACCCGATGGAGCCATTAATCAATATGCATTTGTTTAATGTGTTTTCTCCAGAGGTGTCCCGGAACGACTCCTGTCCAGACCTGCCTGAGATCCAGAATGGGTGGAAGACGACGTCTCACGTTGCACTGGTGCGAGGGGCTCGTATCACCTACCAGTGTGACCCTGGTTACGACCTGGTGGGGCGGGAGACCCTCACCTGTCAGCTGGACCTGTCCTGGAGCTCACAGCCCCCGTTCTGTGAGAAGAGTCAGTCCCACTCTTTATTATACTTTTACTTTACAGCTGTTTATGGTAAGAATTCATATTGCCTGTGTGGGTTGTGGTCCCCTCAGGACCATTTTTCATAATTCTGGCCACCTCTCTTCTGGTGCCAGGTCCAGTTTTTCCCTACGTTAACACAGTGGGCCTCGTGCTCTCCTCCTACAGTAAAGCCCTCGCTCACACAAACTTAGATTCAGTAGGCGCTCGCAACTGCACAAATGTCAAGCAAGTGGTTTTCACTCCTACACAGGAAATACCAAGATAAACTAGACAACATCCCATGAAATTTGCCAAACATTCTGCAGAGGTTGAACATTTTTGTTCTGTACAGCATCTTCATGCTGTGTTGTGGCCGCTAGTCATAAACATCTAGATGTTGTTGAGTATAAAAGTTAATTCTTAAGCAGCATTTTGAATAAAAACTACAGCAATGGAAGAGAAAACTTCTGGGGTAAGATTTTCTTAGATTTACTCTCATCTTCTTTATTGTAATTACATCTACAAATAAGTCAGTATTTATTATCTCTCCTGCAGTGAAACATTTTTTAGAGCACAGACAGAATCTCAGGTTTTTAAGGTTCATTGCCAAAAGCAGGGCGGTAAACTGGATTTACTGGTTTTGAAACAAGAAGCAAACACATTATCACCACAAGGGCTGAATAAAGAACTGGATTTTCTCTCAGACAGGTGGCATGGTGGTTACAGTGGTTAGTGCTGTCGCCTCACAACAAGAAGGATCTGGGTTTGAGTCGGGGCCGACCCGGGGCCTCTCTGTACGGAGTCTGCATGTTCTCCATGTGTCTGTGTGGGTTCTCCAGGTGCTCCGGCTTCCTCCCACAGCCCAAAGACATGCAGCTTAGGTTGACTGGCGACTCCAAATTGCCTCCAGGAGTGAGTGTGGTGGTTTGTCTACATGTCAGCCCTGTGACAGACTGGTGACCTGTCCAGGGTGGACCCCACTGTTCACCCTCTGTTAGCTGGGATTGGCTCCAGTCCCCTCCATGAACCTATTCAGGCTTAGTGGCATAGATAAAGGGTGGATGGGCTTTCTCTCAGGTTAAGGCTGGATTTTAAACTTGTTTTTCTTCAGTCTTAACAAGCATTACTCATTTTCTGGGTTTTGTTTTTTTGCTTCGACCACAAGATTGTACGATGATGAGAAAACAAATGAGAACCACAATGCAGCTGACACACGTGACAGTTTAATTACTGAAGGATGTAATTATTCAACAGGACGACATGTGAAAATGTGTATGAGGTGTTTTTCTGCTCACCATTCCACTTTTGTCCCCTGATGAAGCTGAAACGTTGGGTCTTTATTTCTAGACAGTGCCTCCAGAATAAAGCAGAGTGTAGTGCTCCTGCAGCTGCTCGGTGCCTCTGTTCCTTTGTACCATCTTTTCAAACGGTTCACTGCTGCTTTAGTAACTGAAGTTAAAGTTTGTGAACATTATTTTCTTTGAAAACATTTTTTGGCCTCACATGGACATAATGAAGCAAATACAAGATCACTGACGATACAGGACAAACTGCAGGGACACTCATCATTTAATACATATGCAGAAAAAATAAAGAGTACATAAAGTGTCATCTTTAAAAGGTCACTTAGGAAACAATGCTGGTGTTGAGATCTGCTTGTGTGTAATATTAGTGTGTACTGGTACGGTACTCTGATTCTAAAATGCTGAGAGAGACACCGGAGAGTTCGTCTGCGTCTGTTCCCTTTATATAGGCCTCTCCTCTGTGTCTTTCCCTCAGTCATGTACTGCTCTGATCCTGGACATGTGGAGCACTCCACCAGGTCTCTGTCAGACCCTAAACTCCTGGTGGGCACCACCATTCAGTACAGCTGCAACCCAGGCTTCGTTCTGCAGGGCGGCGCCACCATCACCTGCTACGGCCGCGAGCCAGGGACGCCTGTGTGGACGTCTCGACTCCCTCACTGTGTTTGTGAGTAGCAGAAAGAAGCCTGTACAGTTTGTAGTGCAAAGACAATGCGGCCTGAGAGGTTTGCTGGTTGTATCTCAAGAAAAGCTCATAGTTATTAGATTAAACGTGTGTGTCATCAGGAGAGACAGTTGGTGGTTAAGTGAGGACGAGAGGCTGTTTCCCTGCTGCTGTGTGATCTAACATGAGTGGGTTGGTGTGATTTCTGGCTCTCTCTTTCCTCTGCATGCCAGAGACGCTGATGATGTGTGTGTGCACAGCCGTGTGTTTTCAGGGTTATTAATGTTTGTGTGAGGCGCTTGATATGTAAATGCATTGCTAATGCAGCGTAGCAATCAGCCCTCGGCCACCTGGAGGAGGGGGTGGAGATTATCCATGAGTCATGTCACCTCAGATCTGTCAGTCAAGCTCTGACGCAAAGCCTCTGATTCGCAGTGAGAAACCCGACGGGATCCATCCAGCCTTCTTTTTCCTTTTTTCTTTCTTCTGTTTGTAGCTGAGGATTCGGTTTCCTGTGAAAACCCCGGTCTCCCTGACAACGGCTACCAGGTCTTATCCAAGAGGCTTTACCTGCCGGGCGAGTCTCTTACCTTTGTCTGTTACCAAGGTTATGAGCTTATTGGAGAGGTTGCGATTAAATGCATCCCAGGAAACCCATCCTTCTGGAGCGGCCCGCTTCCACTCTGCAGGGGTGAGACACTGTCACTACTTGTTGTGTTACAGTGTGTGCAGTGAAACCCTGCCTTGTCCTCTCTACCTCTGGATTTATGCATGTACACAATATTCTTCAGATTCTTTTGGCCCTTGTTTGTCGATACATATTGATCGTGCTCCTGTGCATGTAAGCGACAGCTTGCTACACTCCCCCTCCCAAACTGCAATTATCCAATCACAGCTCAGCACAGCAGGCCACGGTAAAGAGTCTGGAGGGTGGTGTCCTTTGTTAGTCCTTTACAAAACCTCACATACACATAAAGAATGTACAGACTGCTTTAAACAGTGGTGGAGGAACTATTCAGTTTCTTACACAAAGGTTGCAAAACCACACTGTTAAAATGCTTTGTGACAAGTACAAGTCATGCTTTGAAATGTTAGTGAAGTCAAAGTATTTAACCATTAGCAGAAGAACTCCGTGCTACTGTGAGCGTCATACTTTCATCATGGCTGTAGCTAATACTGAGGACAGTGAGGTCAGATTTACAACCTACATTTAAAAACTTACACATGATCATGTACATTTTACACCATGATTCCAGTGTTTTAGACTTGTGGATATTTTAAATGTTTAGATGTTTGAACTGAATCTCTCCAACAGAATTTTAGGCTTGAAATCAACCTTTAGAGCTTCGTGTTGGGAAATAAACGAAAAAAATCAAACATAAAATCGAACCTTTAAGTTAATAGATAAAATACGAAATCCAAAGTAAACTAATTATTTGTTTATCTTATTATAGAAGCCAAGAAGAATAGTTTCTCGGCCATTATTACAACATTCTAAGGATTCACAAATGCCCTTCCTACATTATTATTATGAAATAAGCTGAATGGTAGCACAATGTGACTACTTCTACCATCTTCTACCCAAGAACCATGCCTAGGTACAAATTTGAGGTACTTATGGTTTGTTCATGCCACTTTAGACTTTTACTCCGCTACTTTTATTTAAAATGTTAGTTCATATACTTAAGCTGCCCAACAGTGTGTACAGGTCGACCTGAGGCATCATTTCATCGGTACATCAGTAGACGTTTCTGTGATGGAGTGTTTTCACAGTGTGGCCAGTCATGTGCCAGGCGAGGACAGGCAGCTTGACAGGTGTGGTAACAGTAAGGTGGGCGGGGATTAGGAAACCGTCAGGCCAAAGCAGCCTTGTTAGAAAAACTCCACAGGATGTGTGATGTAGATGTTCACATGCACTGACTGACAGAATGATGTCTTGCAGCCAACCATGACTGCTTTGGCAACCATGCTTTGGAAGGTGAGTCTGTCTGTGTGTTAGTGTACTCTGATGCTGTGGGATGTTTTATAAACTGATTAAACAAACCATCACACTGGCCAAACCTCACCTCTGCCTGCATCAGCAAACATCTGCCTGCCAAGTTCATTCCTACTGTGTGTGTTTGTCCATCTGCCTTCTGTTTGTTTGTCTGTAGCATCCACCTGTATTTGCTGAACCACCTTTGGTCACAGCTCTTTCATTGTTCTCTCTCTAATATTATGCCCTTAGTTAACCGTGTTTTATATATGTGTTGTGTATCAGTTGCAGAAGCGACTGCCGGCTCTACTCTAGATGGAGGGAACATAGCACTAGCCGTCTTCATCCTCATTCTTCTGCTGTCTGTGCTGCTGGGAGGTGCTTATGTCTATGTTACACGGTAAGATGTTGGACTGCATGTTCACATGCAAGGCAGGATTATCAACCAGGCAACATATAGGGCCCAGCAGGGCCGAGTCTCCAGAGCCTTGTCAGGTCTCTTCTGTCGGTGGAGGAAACGTCTTCCTTCCAAACCAGATCCCCTCACTGTGTCCGACCCCGCTGTGTCCGACCCCACTGTGTCGTCCTCATGAAGCCATTCAGTGACCTAGAGCTGCAGCCATGAGTCAGTTCACTGGTAGAAAATGAACCTCAGCTATTTAGAATCAACAGTCACCGACATGTTCTGGTTCCACCTTCTTTAATGTGAGGAGCTGATGCTTTTCTTTGTCAGACATGAGAATCAGCTGAGTCTCTGTGGATCTGCTGGTTGTGGAGACACCACCTTTGGCTCTGGAGAGTCACAGTGGGACTTTTCCCAGTGTCTGACATTCTGGGGATAAACAGATCAATCAGATCATCAGGACAATGATCAGCTGATTGATCAGTGGCCCTGCTGGTTGTGTTTCCACTCAATCAGTCAGGAGTTTCTTTTTGTTTGTCACCATCTGTATGTAAATTCTAACTTAGGTTACAGAAAATTTTTAAAGTATTATGAACATGTTTTTAGGAACATTGTAAAAGTTGGATCTTCAAACTGTGCTAATGTTCTTTTCTGTGTCCACGTCCTGTGCATTAGGTGCCGGTATCACTCCAACTTAAGGCTGCCTCTTATCTACCCCCACCCTTACCGACAGATCACTGTGGAGACAGAGTTTGACAACCCACTCTATGAGACAGGAGGGGTGAGAGAGCAGCACATTTAAACACCTTAGAGGCAATGATTTATAGTGGTAGGGACAGACACGTTGCTAACTGCCTCTGTCCTGTTGTCAGCAGGACACTCGTGAATATGAAGTATCGATATGAGAAGCTTCACAAAAAGACATTCCTGAATCAAGAACGACCACCCTGTCCCAAGTCTTCATGCGCTCCTCCCTCCTTCTCCACCTGGGCGATGTAAATACAAATAGATGATGTCCAGCCCCTTCTGCCATGTGATTGATCCTGTTCTCTCCTCCTCTGGTGTGACAGCTTCTGAAGACATAATGGGACATATGAGAGGAAACAGTGATGAACCTGTGTGGGTCAGTGTTGCTGGGAGATGATGAGAGATGGATGACGGAGGGAGAAGTCTGTCGTCTGTGCAATGATCATCCAAAAACCTCGAACATGGTGAAAAACCAGGAGGAGCTGAATGTGAAATGGGACGAAAAGAAATCAAGGAGGAGAGAAGGGGAAGACTTCGGGGACAGGACACAGTATGAGGAATGTGGAATGAGGGGACTGGTGGTGAAAAAATTTTCATTTGTAAGAAATGTAGTGAAAGAAATTTGGAATGTGAGAAAAAGAGAGTTATCATGCTTTCATTCAGTCAAACACCTTTTATGATCAGGTTTTCTTTTTGCAACACAGGGTGGCTTTTATTGTGAAGCAGCCACAGAAAATGCAATTTATTTGTCATCAGGTAAACATTTATTTATCATAAATGCATCTACAGAACAAGACGCTGTCACTTGTACCATTTTTTTTTGTTTTAGTTCAGGGAGAACTGGAAAAATCCAAGCAGCTACAGTGAGTTGAGACAGAGCAGCAGGTGACACCTGCACACCTCCTGTTCCTCAGTGACCAACAACTGACTGTCTCTGTTGTTGTGTAGAAGATAACCTTGCACCATGTGCAGCTGGAAATAAGGCTGCAGCTGCTGTTGACATGATGCGAAATGGATGTCTACTAGAAGAATTCTTTATTAATACAGGCTGTTTGTTTGGCTGCACTCTAAACTGATACACCAGCTGCTTCTCTATTGGTTTTAGATGCTCATAGAAGAGCTGTAGTATTAAAGTGTGTTCAGACAGAAAGTGAAGCAATTTTTTTAATGTCTTTGCTACCTTTATTTAACCTAAACAACAACAAGGTACCAGCTTTACATTGGGTGTGAGCTAGCTAGCAGCAGATGCTCTGACCAGGTCAGCATTTGACTGAACTCAGAACTCAGCTGCATCGTTTTGCACCATCTTTGCATCTAGTCCAGTCTTTTCATAGACTTTGTATGCAGCTGCATCACATCTAATTTTCACTTTGCATTCTCTCTGAACCATGGATGTATTAAAAGAAGTGGATACTGGATTCAGAGCCAGCTCCCACTCCCTCGGATTTTTAGATTCCTCACAAGCATCAGCAAAGTTTCTTCCACTTGGCTTTACATTGAAATGAGGTCACATTTTAAAATAGCTTTTTTAGGCTGTGGGAAAATTTAGAAATATAAAACTTCCATGGATTCAAAATCAGTAATGCCAGGAGTGATATTTCACCTTGTTTGCTGTTTGACATGTCCTGGTTCCTCAGACAGACAGGTGACAAACTTAAAGAAAAACCTGAATAAAATGAGTGGGGAAATGTAACGAATGCAGATGCTGGTATGTATTGGCTTAACTTGTCCCCTTAGAGGGAAGGATCAATGCAAATCAATACAGAGTTGTTCTGAGTGGTCACCTTTATCTTCTGATGAAACAGTTCTCTCCTGATGGGAGTGGTCTCCTCCAGGGTGACAGTGCCCCCATCCACAGGTGCACTGAAGCTGTTCTGGTGGCACATGGTGGCCCGGCACCTCACCGAGACTCTCTGTGTTGGGCCGTCCTTTGGTTTGTCACCTGTCTGTGCATCTCTTTTATATTGGTGGGCTATGGGGACTGTGATTTTAGGGCCCGGGGATGTTTTCATTGCAGTACCATGAGTGGTCACTGAGACTAGGGGCAGCAAAGTAGAGAGGTGGCACCTCATCAAGCAAGAACGCCAGTAAAGCCACACTTAATGTTACCATGGTAACCACCCAAGAGTCTAGGTGATACATTAGCTGGTAAAACAGTGGAGGTGGATTTTGTTTTTTTTTTAATTCACACTCATGAGTCACCCTCTTTGGCCACAGAATGACAGAAAGAAACAAACTGTCCACTGTCTCCTGTCCCTGAACTCCCTTCTGCCTGCTAATACCTTCAGACCTTTTAACTCCAGCCGCTCCACTTCTGGCTCTAGCTATAGTTACGTGGTATTTATTTTCAAGGCCAGTGCAGTACTGTTGTCTTATTCCTCATGTGTAGTTAGATTGATGACTGTCATAGACTGGCCTCAGAGTCCCCAGGTCTGGACCGGCTGATGATTCAAAAGGAAAATGAGCAACGTGCATTGTGGCAGGCGTGCAGGTTGCATTGTGAATAGCGTAGCTGTAGTTAACAGACTGATCTTTGAGTGAAAGCTCAATCAACCCACCAGATGATGTATTTATTTTGATGTACTGTATATGTGATGTTTTCTGCAGATTGATTAATGTACATTTTCATTATGAGAAGACAGATGTTAACAATTTCCCTAAAAAATTAATTGTAAAACTTAAATAAAAAGTACAAAAGTTTGTTTCTAAATCTTGAGGTGTTCTGTTGAATTTTTGTGGCTGACATATTTGTTTCAGTTTTTCTTCCATCTAATTAAATACAGTTTATGTTGAGGTCTTTTTGCCTCTTTTTATGGTCATTTTTTTAATTCCCCATAAATTTATTTTGTCTTTTTATGGTCATTTTTCATGTTGTTATGGTTGTTTTGTGTCTGTTTTGTACCTTTTAACTGAACTCTAGAAATAAAGAAGAAATGTGTCACTTCATACAGAGGCTCAGGCCCAAAGGCCCCTGACCTCTGGGGCCCCTCAGCCTGTGCCCATCCATCCATGCATTTACAGTATAGTCTTCAACCATGAACTTAGTTTTTTTTTTTTTTGGCAAAACCTAAAAATATAGCTCAATAACACTTCAGATAAATCATATTTCTCACCTTCTTGGTGCCTATTGTTTGTTCTGGGGTGTGAATTGGATTCATTTTTTACAGTACCTGATACTACACTAAAATTTTTACCTGGACACAAAGGTGAAATTTATGCTCTATCCACAGTGTTAGTCACAAGGAGCCACTTGTCCTGTCAAATTTACCCAAAGAATTATTTTTCACTTATTTTATTTGAAAATTTTTTATACAGTAACTTGAAGGAAAAAGCAAAGTGGGGGGGGGATAAGAGAAAATCGTAAAATAAGCACAATTTTCCTGTGCTCTTAATCCTCTTGGGACCTTGTGTGAAGAAGGTGTGTTGACCGCCCCCAAACGGGGTCAGGACACCATCCAACATCCACCAGCATAAACAGATTTTTGCATTTTAGTCTACTTAACTGCTATGAAATGTTTCTGAAGCATGAATTCCTCACTTTCACCACAGTATGCAGTTTGACAAGCACATTTTCTGGACTGAGGGCTGTTGTTGTGCAAATATATCCTGATGAGTGGGAGGCAAATTCTGCCCCACAGCATTTCTCTGCCTCCAGCCCATTTTGGTGTCCTAATGAATCCTTCTGTTGCCACTATGAATGCTAATAAGAAGATAATGCTTCCTGTCGTGACAACGATTTCCAGAGGCCTTCCTGCTGTGGTTAATTCAGCTGTTGAGAAGCTTTTAACCAAATGCCTGATGATATTAGACACTGAGGAAAGTGAGAGCTACCCACACAAGTTTAATGAACCAAGAGCATTCACACAGCCAGAAATATATTTCATTACTGTCTCGGTTTAAAGCGTTTAGTTGGTGCTGTTATCCAGAGAGATTCATAATGAGCACAGCAGCACAAGAAGATCATTAATAATACTAGCAGCTAACAGCATGGGTCAGACCCACACTACTGAGGCAACACAGGCAGCAAATATCTGTCAGGGGTTTTTTATGTACAGTAGAGATCCAGGAGAAAGATGTATAGTGAACCTGGCTGGGAACTTTCTCCACAGCAGTTTGAAGGTTTTAACTTTAAAACCCTTAATAATGTTAATAGTAATTCTTTTATCGTAGCCAGGTCCCCCTTGAAAAAGAGGTTTTTAATCACAATGCTTTTTAACCTGGTAAAAAACTTTTTTAAAGTGCCCAATCACTGCAATTTGTGCTTAATTTGTGTGAGTACTTCTAAATCACAACTTAGATTGGAACATGATGCTCATATTTTAAAATTCTGTGCTTTATTAGAATATCATCACCTTTGATGTCTATAGTGAATAAACCTCCACAAATCCACTTAGAAGTGACTGAGAAAAGAGGCTCTATATAACTCCACAACTTGCCTAAGAGTCATCACATTTTAAAGTTTTATTCAATATCAAAGTAATACATTGAAATCCATCCAGATATCCGTACATTACAAACAGGAAGTGATAATTGCTAATTTGTCATTTCTATTATTGCGCCATTTTGCCAAATGTGAGCAAATATAGACTAACTCAATGAATCCATGCCTGCTTCATAAATCCCTGCTGTAATGCAGTCAAACTCTTAAGGCCACCAGCAGTATGGAGAAATGTAATGAATTTTTTTATTATTTTATAGCTTTAATAAATGGATTCCTACAGAATACAAGTGCTGCTACATAGTGGGTTTAAGCACCACACAATATACGACATATAAATAGACTTCTAGCATTTGACATTTATGCTCCAAATAAAAACAAATCATTGCTGCAAAACACTTAACCAAAGAAAATAAAGTAAGACGTGGGAGGAGAATGCAGCAGAGGAAATACATACATTAATTTAAAAGCTACTGATACCACACATTTTTCTTAATAGCCAGGCATTATTCAGATACTGTCAATGGGGCTGTTAGGACACATTCACCACAGTTTGGAGAGTAATACTGAATGTAAACATAACTTTTGTTTGTTTATGAGAAAACTCCACATGGCACCGTTAATGATTGCTCTGGGGAGCTGCTGAGTGTGAGCCACATCTGCCCGAGCTGGATCACCTGAACTGTAGCCTCAGGGGACGGTACCATCCCTGAGTCACACACACAAACACAGACACACACTTATTAAACTGGATACTACATTCAAAACAGCTGTGTTGTAATAATAACAAATATGTTTATCCTTGAAACTCCTGTTGGTGAACTTATAATAATGCAAGAAAATGCATAAAATGAAGCCTGACATTTAGAAAATATAGCATTTTTAGAAAATGAATATTAAATTGTCAGTTGACTCATTTTAAAACGGGGTGTGGGCATGAGAATATGCGCATGTTGATGATTATTTGAAATCAAAAGATAATTAGAACGAAGAAGCATATTGCTTTTAGACAGTGTTGGAAGAAGTACTTAGATTGCTTACTGAAGTAAAAGTAGCAGTACCACTGTGTAAGAATACTCTGTTACAAGTCAATGTCCTGCATTGAAAAGGTTACTTAAACACAGATGTATTGCATCAAATATTTCTGTAAGTAATTATACAGAATGGCACACTGCATATTTTATTGGATTATAAAGATTGATGCATTGTTTTGTTCATCCCCTTAATATTGCAGCTGGTGAAGATGGAGCTATGTTAACTGCCCAAGGCCTATAGAGCCACAATCTGAAGTACTTTACAAACTGCTGGGTAGCTGGTGAAATTCCCACCAGGGATCAATACAGTCTGATGAGTCTACTGTATTTTGGTTGATTAATCTGATTCTGAAAATGATATGAAATAATGTAATGTAGCGAAAAGCACAATATTTGCCGCTGAAATGTACCATTTTAGTAATCCATTGATTGTTTAGTGTATTATCTTGTTTCCCCCTCCAAGTACAAATACAAAGATTTTAAGTTTAATAACTGGCATATATTTGAGAGGCTGGTGTAGTTTTTCAAAGACTTGTCTAACTGATTAGTCAATTAGACATTTTGCCAATGAACCTTTTGTCAGTCAGCTACCTGACCAGCCAACTGGTCATTTCACAGTACTGGCTGGTTTGTGGGAAATAATAAAAAAAACAATCCTGTAGGCTATAATGAGTATAGGTGTGGGCCCAACAACTATTTATTTGTTTATTTATTTAGTTTTCAGGTTAATCTGGCCATAATTAAATAGGTTTAATATTTAGGTGCATTTCCTACTTATGTGTAAATACTTTTACTTCCGGTTTCGATGCGGTATCGTGACGGAGTACTTTCACAGCGCCCAGTGGCTAAGTCTACATCCGCGCAGGCTGTGAATCCTTCTTTTTAATTAACTCTTTGTCGAAAGCCATTATCAAACCCTATTCATTTATTTATTTGTTTGCTTATTTTCTTTATTCATTCACGGTCTGTGTAGATAACCATATTTTATAGTTCCACTGGGTGGACCAGCGGAAGGATATCGCACTTGTTTTCTATAACTACCCCTCCACTGGACTTCGCTTGCTATAATCTGATAGGATCCGGAAGAGAAAAGTGAAATCTTTGGAGCAATTTGTTTGTAAGTAAATTAAGCTTCTGAAATTGTAATAATTGTCGTGTGTACTTTAGCATTTTTATATATTCAATGCCGTTTGTAGAAATAGTGTCAATTTAACAGTTGATAAACCAATGAATCGGTAACTACGTCGTCTGTTGGCTAGCTAACAGGCCGGGGCCTACTTAAAAAAAAAAAAGTCGCCATGAAGGATTCTTTGTCATAATTCAGCCTTTTGAGTTCGACAAATCCAAACGTGAATGTCATACTAAACCTGATAAATTAAACGCTTAATAAACATAATCAGGTGGTTAATTTGCGCTTAATAAATGACAAACGCTGACCACATCTTGCGCCATCAGGTTTTCACAGCAACGTTAGCTTGTTAGTGTCACAGCTGTTGGCTAGCTGGTTTGATTAGCTGGCATAGCCGAGAGACCTTTGGTGAACGCAATTCTGCCTTGTCATCTTATTGTTTTTCCCCTAGTAAACTTTAGAAAGCTAAAATTGTCTTATCAAAACGTAGAGACTATAGGCTAATCTTAAAGTCGGCTAACTTAACACCGTGCGGGTTCTTAAAACAATAAGGGGATCGAAAAAATCTGTTTTGACAGTTGATTACACGTTTCGCTTATGTTGTGACCAATAAAACGACAAATGTGTTTCGGCTTCTAAAGGTAACCGTTTTTGAGTTTATTTTGGGGGCTGGGTTGTTGATGGATCGACAGTGTTTTCGAATAAAATTTAAGGCGTATAAACTTTATCGTTTTCAAGGTCATACTGGTCAAAGGGATTTATTTCAACACATTAGGTTAAGGCCACGGGGTATAGGCAAAGGTTTAATCAATTTTGGTTTCCTTATAAATTATTGTAAACTAAATTATTTGTTTTGGGGCTTTTGAATAAATAAGTGGGGAAAAGGGACATGTTGAGGCAAGTGCTTCAACTCTGGGAAATGGATGCAGATTAACTGATAATGAAAACTGTTGCAGGACTAAAATGAAGTGCTATCAGAAATCTAAGGTACTTTTTTAAAGGGGATTTTTCTTTTTACAGTGTCAAGATGCAGATCTTTGTGAAGACCCTGACTGGTAAGACCATCACTTTGGAGGTGGAGCCCAGCGACACCATTGAGAATGTTAAGGCAAAGATCCAGGATAAGGAAGGCATCCCTCCTGACCAGCAGAGGCTGATCTTTGCTGGAAAGCAGCTGGAAGATGGCCGTACCCTTTCCGACTACAACATCCAGAAGGAGTCCACCCTCCATCTTGTGCTCCGTCTGAGAGGAGGTATGCAAATCTTTGTCAAGACCCTGACCGGTAAGACCATCACCCTGGAGGTGGAGCCAAGCGACACCATTGAGAATGTTAAGGCAAAGATCCAGGATAAGGAAGGCATCCCTCCTGACCAGCAGAGGCTGATCTTTGCTGGAAAGCAGCTGGAAGATGGCCGTACCCTCTCTGACTACAACATCCAGAAGGAGTCCACCCTCCATCTTGTGCTCCGTCTGAGAGGAGGTATGCAAATCTTTGTCAAGACCCTGACCGGTAAGACCATCACCCTGGAGGTGGAGCCAAGCGACACCATTGAGAATGTTAAGGCAAAGATCCAGGATAAGGAAGGCATCCCTCCTGACCAGCAGCGTCTCATCTTTGCTGGAAAACAGCTGGAAGATGGCCGTACCCTCTCTGACTACAACATCCAGAAGGAGTCCACCCTCCACCTGGTCTTGCGTCTGAGAGGAGGTATGCAGATCTTTGTCAAGACCCTGACCGGCAAGACCATCACCCTGGAGGTGGAGCCAAGCGACACCATCGAGAACGTCAAGGCCAAAATCCAGGATAAGGAAGGCATCCCTCCTGACCAGCAGCGTCTCATCTTTGCTGGAAAACAGCTGGAAGATGGCCGTACCCTCTCTGACTACAACATCCAAAAGGAGTCCACCCTCCATCTTGTGCTCCGTCTCCGTGGAGGAAACTAAGCCTCAGCTGTGGTGTCTCAGTATATGCAGCATTTACTCCAATGATCAGTTACTCTTCCTGATGAGCTCTGTCAATCCTTGTTAGTTCCAATACAAGTTGAGCTTTCCTGAAATTTGCTTTTGACTTTAAGTTTCACTTTGCTTCAGCTTCAGCTAAGTACAACTTTAGTTTCCAGACTGTTAAACAGAAAATGTTTCAACCAGTGAGTTCATTAACAGCTGTTAAGTTGTCGGTAGATGTTGAGATCTGAAATGCTCACTTTGGTTTTATGACTTTGAAAGCAGCACATGTGGAAATTGTGTTTTAAAAACCAATAAAATTGCTTCTTGCCATCACCTGGTTGTATTTGGACTCTGTCCTTTGGTTACAACTAGGGCTGAAATGTTGAACATTTTCTCAGTCGTTCTCTTGGTCTGTAAAATGTCAAATGGTGATAATTGCTCATCACAACACTGCAGAAACCCAGGGCGGCGCCTTCAGCTGAGGTTTGTCGAACAGTCTAGTCACAAAGCCTTGAATGTACTTGCAGAATATTTTTGATCAAATAGTTGCAGCACTGGTTCTTGTACAACATTTTGACATGTCTAGACAAAGCGGCAGTAGGAGCTTCTGTTAAATACTTGGAGGTTCGTCACTAGTTCCCAGAAATGGCATTTCACATTCAATACTGCAGTAATGTGGCACAGGGTATCCCCCCCGTCAAGGTTACTGTTTTGGGCAGTTAATGTATAAATATGCAGACAGTACTTAAGTTATAGTTCAAGGTCTAGTTTTGAGTTTTTGTTAAAAATGTAAAATTTTAAATCTCTAAAGTAACTGCAGTGTAGCTGTTATGGGAATGTAGTGGAGTAAAATGTTCCCCTCAGATGTACTACAGTTGACGTGTAAATACTCAAGTTATGAAATGTATATGTAAGCACAGCTGCGGTGACTCAGATCCTGCCACGTCTTCATTGTAGAGGTAAAACACTACAGCCACTGCTGATTGGATTATTTCTAATACACACACAGTAAATGCAGTAGTTTCAGGAAGTATTAACCCTTGTGTAGTTTGTACAGTGTCAGGAAATCACCAGATCCCACAGCCAGCAATCCAAACAGTCCTCTGCTTGGTGGTGGAAGTCAGGTACTGTACTAGTACAGTTTCTAGGTTCTATTCAATTTTAATTTTATGGCACCAGTTTGCAAAAATTATCTCAGGGAGGGCATTTTACATAGGTTTGGACCTATGAGTATTTCCAATTTATACTACTATATAATACTGTAGAGGGAATATTGTACTTTTTTCTCCACAATATTTATGATAGTTGCTGTAATTTTACAGACAAAATGCATCAACTTTTAAAATGTGGTGCAATACAGATTATTTGCATTTAAACCCAGAAAACTGAAGCTGTGTAATACGACCATTTAAATCTAGTTTTCCACGCCAACGCATGTGAACACAAGATAAAAAGAATCCTATCAGGTCCCTGAAAACTCTGCAACATGAGTACTTTTACTTTTGGTATACATTTTCCTAGGATTTGAGTACTACTCCCACCACTTTGTCTTTACTTATTAGTTTATTAATTGCCTTGAGTAGAAGCCACAGCCACATACTCAGTTTGTAGAAGTACTTTTACCCATGTATGTAGGTATGTACAAATGTAATGTACTATTTCTATTTCATGCTAGTTTATAGTTCTGCTCCACTACTTCTCTAAAGTACACATTGTCCGTTTTTCCCTATTTATTTGACCGCTTTACTTACTAGTTATTTATACATGATGAGCTTGTTTAGATTGTTCAGATCATTTACTTAAGCAAAAGTACCTATAAGCCAGTTCCAAAATACTCTTACAAGTAAAAGTCCTGTGATCAGAAAAGTATCAGCAGTAAAAATCCCCCTGTGACTCAGCAGCACGTTACTGTTGGAGCTGGTTTAAACTATTTTATATACAGTTAGAGGTTAGTCCAGTGGTTCCCAACCAAGAGGTTGTGACCCTCTGGAGGGTCACAAGATAAACCTGAAGGGTCGTTAGTTTTTTCCTGTAATCTTTGATTTTGTTGTGACAGTTTTCTGACATGTCATGTATCAAAACCACTGATTTCATCTCAATGCGCTGTATTTTCAATGGAATATAAAGTAAATATTTCACTCTGAAATATAAGTACAAGTATAAAGCAGCAGAAAATGGAGATAAAATCTAAATTGTGCATGTGTAAAGATACTATGAAGCACTGGCTCATCTCACCCAGTGACGACAGTAAAATGCTGCTTACACATCAGAATCTTGATACAGCTAACGGTAAACCAGCCACATGGGCAAAGTACTTTTACTTTTGATGCTCTGTTAAGTGAGTGTCAGGACAGGACTTTAGTAATAGAGTACTTTTAAACTGCAGTTTTGCTACTTTTACTCAAGTAAAGGATATGAATACTTCCTCCACCGC